GTGTTTCTTTGCTCTGCAAGGGGAAAACCATAGGGTCACTTTGAGTCATTACATTTAAATGACCTCACTATTGTATTGCCTTTTTCATTCTGTTTACTTGAGTTGTACATCTAAGAAACTAATATTGATCTATCTGTCTTTTACTTAGCCAAATCATTTTTTTTCCCAGAAATTCCATGTGTTCCTATTTCAAGAAGTCTTAGTTATTACAAGAGCCATCACACAGAATGACAAACTTTACTACCAAATCTACCGCCAGCCAATTCCTATAAAGGATCTCATACTGGACGATTTACAGGATGGGGAAGTTCGTGTTGCAGGGTCTCTACGTGGTGCTTTCAGTAACAATGAAAGAAGTAAGTCTGATACTCTTATGACCCTGTAAACCTTAATTAAACTCTATAATTTTCAAATATTTTAATGTACCTTTTTGGGTATAGGAATACATATTCTTAGAAACTGGGCTTAAGAGTAAGGGGTTGTTCACACCATGTTCGGACCAGATCTGGAGCAGATCTGCAAGCGCAGTGAGTTTTTGCCCTGTTTTTAATGCGTTTCTGACGCATTCCAGTGCATTTTTTAGCTTAAAAATGAGCTTTCAGGTGCAATCTAGTGCGTATGCATGCGTTTTGGTGCATTCCAGACCAGAACAAATAGTGCATGCAGCATTTTCTTTATTCCCGCACTGGAAAGGACTGCACTGGTGTGAACAGAGCCCAGAAATACCATAGGAATACATTGGGATGCATTTCAGGTACGGACAAAAATTGTTCTGGTCCGGACATGGAGGAATGGGGAGGGGAGAGTCCGTGCAGGGAGTGATGACTGACAGCCACCAGTTTTCTGCAAGGAGAAGATCAGGAAATGAGCAAAACAGCGGTATGTGATCGCTCAGTTCTCGATCAGTAGAGCCGACGTGTGGCAGCTGCAGTGTCACAGGTCGGCTCAAATTATGGGGAAGAGTGTATTTCTCCTTTAATAACAGGGGTAAGGTCTGCTTCTAGACAACTGGAATCAAGAAATTTAACCAACTTGTTACTTGCAAGCAGGCAGGATCCTACACTTTTCTATATAGAAGAGTGTACTACCCATTTGCTGCTGTCACCATTGAGATGGTCATAATGCCTGAATAGCTGTGAGCAGTCTAACTTTTTTTTTGATTCCATGAAGCCATGCTAGGTTTCTACATTCAGCTTTTGTATTAAGAATCTTTGTAAATTTAGAAATCCATGTATGATGTGATAGCCTGGTTTGAGCAGCTGCATCTTTCCAGGCTCTAGGAATGGTTGACACATGGAGCAAATCAACCACTGTGGGAAAATCCTTTAGAAAGGCATAGAGACAGATATGAGATGTAATATATTTTGCCCACACGATGGTGGGATAATATCTAATTCGATTGCATATAGGACCTCTGAGAACCAAAAAGGGGGCACCACACATCCTGAAATTTTCAAAGTATAAAAGATAAAGCCAATGGAGTTTCATCGGCCGTTAGGGTCACTGGCTCCAATAAAACTCCATTGGCTTTACATTTTATACTCGGATAATAGATAATACTACAGGTATGGATGACTCCTTGCTCATTATGTAGGATAGGCAAATGTTACAACTCATATTCCGTAGTTATAAACTAGAATAGAGTGTTACATTTTGACCGTACTTATGTCTTAAACCATGTGCTTACCTTTTTCCCCTTCTGTTTATATTTCCAGTTAAAAACTTTTTCCGAGTAGGCTACAAGAATGGCTCTCATACACAGTCGCACTCTCTGCAAGCAAATGACACTTTCAACAAACAGCAGTGGGTGAATTGTATCCGACAGGCCAAAGATTCCGTTCTCTGTTCTGGAGGGGATGGCATGCTTCCTTCAGAAGAACATTTATTAATACCTGCAGAGGGATGCAGTAATACTCTGCAGGCAACACGATTTGAACAAATGGACCACTCAGACAGTATTTCAGACTGCAGTATGGACACAAGTGAAGTCAGCATGGACTGTGAACAGATGGAACAAACGCACTGTAGCACACACAAACAGGTTGAGAGTGATATTTGACAAGTCCTGGACTGCCTGTTACCTGAACAGTATTTGCATTCCACAAATGGAACAGTTGCTGAAGCACTTTTGTAAAATTCTTCAAAAGGGTGTCATCATGCCTTGCGTTACCTATGGACAACAGTACTGTAGCAACCAGCCTTGACTGCAAGCCAAGACGAGATCCACCCCTAACCTCTGCTATGTTATGCGTTGGGATAAGATGAGAATTACTCAAACAATTCCACCAGCATGCTGGTGAGAAGGGGGCTTTGAAACTACTGTCAATATGTGTATACATATACAAAACAAATATATGTTTACTGTAAAAAAAACAAGGTGTTACTATTTTTTTTTGCTATAGATTAACACTGTGTCTTAGATAAGTTCTGCATTTTAAAGGAACAAAACTTGATAAAAGGCAAAGACATTATTTTTTTACAGTGATTTGAAATTACGCATATTAAGTTGTGTAAGACACAGACTGGATGGCTCGAATATTTTCATTCATGTTTCACCATGACTAAATTATGTTTTTTTTAATGGTTGTTACCAAGCTATATGTATGGTATCTGTAAATGCTTATCACCCAACAAAGTTATGTGAAACAACTAATTTAATAAGACCTGGCTGACCATTCTGCAATGAATCATTTTTGCAGAGAGAGTATCACCGGGTCTAGCGTCACACCAAACTACTCTAGAATTCACAATGCATAAGTGACAGCCATTAGTGCTTAGACCAACAAAGAAAAAGAACAGCACCACCTCAAAATGATCTAGAAAAATTGTGTCGGTCATAATACAAACCTTTCTTGACCCCTCAGAAAGACGTCCCCCTCAAACACACACACACCACCATTGTATTACTAGATAGCATTTACTATACTTACTCATGTTCCAATTTTTAGGGGTCTTCTATCCTTTCATGGTATGTTTTTAAAATATTTTTGTTATAAGATAAACGGTATTACCTCCCTACCTCGGAGAGTAAAATGAAATAAAATTCAGGAATCCGAATAAGTCTATCAGCAGCTGATATATTACATCATGATGGGATTAAGTCGTTTCTGTGATGCAGGAGACTATTCTGCTGCTAAATGAGGAATTGCAGGGCAAAAAAATGTTTTAGGGTTATAATTAAAGCATAACTGTGGCTAAAAATGTTATTAACACTTGCAGTGGGGCCACCCCCGCACTGCAGAGGCTAACTGCTCATTTTTGCCTAGAGCAAAAAAAAAAAGCTATACTTCCTGTAACTCTCTGAGTCAGCCGGCTCTTAGACCGGTCCCTGAAGCCTCAGTCCCTCTCTGCTGCAGCGATTTAAGGATCATTGAGTCACCATGTCCAATATGGGACATGAGGATGCTGAGTGACATACTATCGCTGCACCGAAGGATGATAGACAGGCTGAAAGGAGCGCTGTCACAGCCAGCCAGCTCCGAGGTTCAGGTGAGTATAACTGTTATTTTTTACCCTAGGCAAAAACGAGCAGTTAACCCTTACAGTGCTGAGGTTTGTGGCAGGGGACGGTTGTCAAGTCACAATTGCACGTTTAGCTTCTTAAAACTGTACAAACAAATGGTGGTAGAGCTGGACTCAGAAGGGTTTGATTATGAGGTGCCTTTATCTTCAGTACTATTGTATGCATGTAACATACACACAATGTCTCATGATACAGAAGATTATAAAAAATTTAATTTAATGGGAATAAGTAGCTAGCATGTGTGATCCTATCAGTTTCCAATATCACACTCTCAACCCTTTCACACATTAACAATAACAGACATTAGGTTGCTTTGGGGCCTGTGTTGATGGGCAAAAGAAGCATGCTTTTGACATCAGTTTGAGATGCTTCTTCGATTATTCAGAATTTACTACAATGTGCAATTGATTTTCGCATTTCCATAGACTTGTATAAGAAGAGAAATAGTCCTGAAGAGAACAACATGCTTTCGTCCCTGGCCCTGCCATGAGAAAACTATGCTGATGTGCTGGCTTTAATGCCATCTGATGTCTCTGACCTCTACAAAATTCTGATACTCACTTACAGCATGTGCCAGGTTTGTGTCTGAAAATATTGAAAGCAATACACAGCCAGGCAACTAACCTTTTCAAACGAAGGCCTCAAGGGACCCTCCATATTTTACCTATGACAGTCATTTTAACCATCATAGCACATGGGGAAAGGATTCCATACTATTAACTCCGAACAGGAGATGACAGCAAGCACTGTTACATCTCCTCAAAATGACCAGCTTTTAGTTCTTTGTGGCGGCCATGTCTTTTACAGCAAGGAAGAGCTTAAACCTCTCTGCTCATTTTAAGCGCAAGAGGACTAGACGGTAGCTGAAAGGCATTGTGATATTTAAAATTCATACAAAAACAATATTGTGCTATATTTTATGTGATAGTTTTTATTTTGTATTTAAAGTTTAAATACGGTCAATGTAGTTTACCAAATGTTGTCAGATGTGCATTTAGAATGCTGGAAAGGACAAGAACAGTAATGTCTGGCAAGGATTAAAAGTCGCACAAATGTGGCTATTATTGCCTGATGGCCTTAAATTAACATGACAGAATAAAATCACATTCAACTCTCAAAACATGTCTTGTGGTTTTGCAGATCAGCATAATTGCCAAGAGCCAACAATAACTTCCTCAAATTTAGTTCTTGGACACTTCTAAGAATGTGTTTTCTATCTTGCCTCACAGCTAAAGAAATTAGTGTGTTTTTAATGGATACCTGTGCTGTGAGAAATAAGGAGGCAGCTATTCTAGTTAGCCAGGTAATGCTAATGGTCAGATGGACAGGTCAACTATCGGCAACCTTCATCTTTACCTTAGTAAAAGAAACATTGACCTGGAACAAGAATAGCAAGCAAGTGAAGTCAGAATCCCTCTCTGTACGGTTGCTCATGGCCAAAGACTCAGATAATATTCATTACAATCCAGTCAAAACTGAAAATTAATCTTTAAAATGTCTGCAGTCTACCTGCTTAGCTCCCAGTACTACTTTTTCATCCAATTCTGGTCTATGCCAACCTGGTGATCTGAGAACAACTGCTTGTGATGCAGACAGGCATTCCTAAACACATTCACAATGAGCACTTTGAGGCCTCTCACATACAAAAAGCCTTACCTAATCAGATTCAAACCTGCCTTGGACGTTTGTATGAGATTGATGATATAGGAAGCAGTAAGCCCTCATTCACACGGGTAACGGCCGTATCGGGCAGCTCCCGTGAAGGACAGGTGCTGCGTGTGATTATGCGCAGTACGGGAGTACGCGGCCGTACGCTGCCCTACGCTCACCCGACCTGCACGTCCGTGCGGATGTCTGTACTCGTACGCTAACAGGATGGATCCTGCCTGCGTCTGAGCAGGGACACCCGCACCTGTACGGACGTGCAGGTTGGGAGAGCGTAGGGCGACGTAAGGCCGCGTACTCCCATAGAGAAGAGCAGGCTGCTGCGTACAAATCACACACAGCACCTGTCCTTCCCGGGAGCAGCCCGATACAGCCGTGCACGCTGCACAGATCTGTACGGGCCAGCCGTTACCTGTGGGAAAGAGGACTAAGAGAGGAAGTCGCAAAGTAGAGGCTTCAGGAAGTATATTCCCATTGACCCTGTTAGATACAGTGGATTACATAGAACTCACATATAGTACTGTATGTGAATCCATGAAGGTAGCACCTGAAAAGTCCCAAGTTCCTTTGGAAATATGTATAAAATTATAGTAAACAAAGTGATCTTTTCAATAGTCTCCAATGGTAGCCCACACGTTTCTTTCATGAATAGTTTAGGTTGCCAGTACACATAGGTTTCTAGCTGAAACTGTTGCAAGCCTAATCGTATTCATTTAATACTTAAACATGTTCTACATTCTGAGAAGCAGGACCAGACAGAGGCCATCTCTCAGGTATCTTGGAACCTAGAAACTTAATAGGAAGGTGAAACTTGAGAGGTAGAGTTGTGGGATTATTGAAGTCCATCTGTAGATGCACTGCGGTACAAAGACAGAACATTGAGGTGACACCGATCTATCCGTAGCTGCCATATTACTATGCTACAACCTCAATGTTGTAAAATTATACCAGTCAATTTGCACTACTGGGCTCACCAGGATACTGCATCCAGGTTACAGGAGTCTATAAATGGTTCTTAAAACGCAAAGACAGAGGAACACAGTTGAAATGTATAGAATTCATGTCAACATATCTACATTGCTCAGAATTAAGGAAATAGATGCTAGCCCAGGAGTGGGCAACTCTGGCCCTCCAGCTGCTGGGGAACTACAAGTCCTATGATGCATTGCAAGACTGAATGTAACAAGCATGACTCCCAGTTGGGATTTGTAGTTAAGGGCCGGTGCACACCTAGGCGACACCGCACCGCGCAGCAATCGTGCACGATTCAGCGTGGTCACGCAGTCGTCCAGCACAGATGGTTGCGCAGTGGGTGCCATTATTTTCTAATGGCACCCCAGTCTCGCCGGACGGATTGCGCTGTTCCCCGCCGCAATTCCACCCCTGCATCCGAACGTGTGTTATGTATCGCAAAAAAGAGGTACATGTACCATGGAAGTCACCCTATTGAAATCAATAGGGGCGCACGGCAATCGCTGTCTGCATTGTGCAAGGCCGCGCGATCCCCGGACCGCTTAGGTCTGCACCGGGCCTAAATCACAGCTGGAGGGCCAGAGTTGCCCACTTTGTGCTAGACCATCCATATTCCTAGCAACCCTATGATATACTCAATTGTTAACAGAAAAGCTATAGTTTCTGCATATTTTTATAAACACCAGAACTTGAAGCTGAAGTGTAATCTGTTTATATTTTGCCTTTCTCCCTCTCCCCTCATCTGTTTTCAATACATACATTTTTTAGACCAAGGGACATCATCACTGAACCTCTGTGCATTTCTGTGCAATGAAGGCAGATCCTGGCTAGAGGAAGGTGCCATCAGGGTGCTCTACATAGCTTCTGGAAAGCATCACAGAACCCTGCTCCAGTACACACTGATGCAAGCAATGGGCTGGCTCTTGGGAGGAGCTGTGCAAGTATCAAAATGGCTTGATGAGTGGGTATTCCTAGG